CTTTCCCTAGCCTCTTGAGGCTTTACAATGTATTGGCTAGTCAGGTTTGGTTTGAGTGTATTGGTTACTCTCAAGAGAGAGGATACATATGGAATCTACACTCTTTAAGGTTTCACTACCTTATTCCTACAGAGGCTTATATTTGAGTGTTTGGATTACTCTCACGGAGAGGATACATAGGTTTACAACACTTACTAAGGTTTGTTCATGACTGACATTTTAAGCACCTTAGTCTACAAAGATAACAATGTTATATTACATTGTGTATATGGTTGTGAATGTTCATCTCTGGTACCTCTGTCTTGTGGGCTTGATATCATCTCTTTCATTCAAATGCCTAGGGCAATCCCTTCGTTGTTCTTTGCCTTTTTTTCGGTTTGATGTTATTTTATACTTATAGGCCTATAAAATTTTCCCGTTGCATATGTCTGTTGAAGCTAATATAGTCGTTCATGACTAGTTTGATCCTTTCATTTAATGCATTTGGTCTTGCATTAAATGTTGCTTCATGTTCTTAGAGATTGCGTGTATTCTCCTCTGTCTTGTTGCTACAGTGTTTAACTTTATCTGAGGCCTAGAAATTATTTGTCTTTTTCTAGTCATGCAGCAACATAGTCGTTGTCCTTTTCTGAAAAAGTAATGCACTTTTTCTGACACATGCATGCTCTGCTTTTGTGTGCTGCTCTTTTCTTTTGTTTCTTCATATGCATTTTACATTGAAAGCTTTGGTGTGTCCATAGACGATATCTTGGCTTGCTTCTTGAGACATGATTCTTTATTTGCTTGCGTTGCAGTCTTCATCTTCGTGTGTTGGTCCTGTGCATTTCAATCTTGACTTTTGCTTCAGCATTTGAGTTTAGTTGAAATTATGAAATAAACGGATTCATAATCTCTAATCTCTTACACTGCTCCTAGTTTAGGTCTCTGTTCTCTCATCTCTCTTGTTTATTATTGGATTCATGATTTTTATTTTTACTGATTAAGAGGTTTGGGCTTGCTGGTGGATGGTGACAGGTTATTATGACATATTTTCTTGTTATAGCCAACTCGACATTTCATTGCCAATAGCCATAGATTGCCAAAATCATGCAAAACATTGTTTACGGTTGAAGGGGGAGGAAAGGCCCACCATGAAAGAAGTTGCAACGGAACTTGAGGCAATAAGCATTGTGGAAAAGCACCGATGGGAAAAAGTCAACTTCTCTTCAGAGGAAACTGAAAATCTTCTCAAAGCAACACCATCATATTCTTTTAGTGTTGTAGATGATGCTGACAAAAGAAGCTTGCATTCTGGATCTGAAAGTTTAAGTCGGATTTCCTTGCCCTTAAATGGGAGATGATTTGTTGATATTAATTAATTGTAATATTATCATAATTCACAAGTTTGTTGTTACTCAAGACTAGATGCTAATCTATCTTCAAAATAATGGTAGTGTAGTGTGTTGTATATTCCCTTATTGCATTGTACCATAATGTGACATCATGTTTGTGATGAAGTTTTGTATGCTATGTGAGAAGCTTTTTATCATTACTAGTTAATTAATTTATCTAGGATTTAATTTGTGGGGAGATGATGAATAGTTTCTCAAGTTATATTGGTTTTGCAGTTAATGTTCATGTGGAAAGTGTGTTTTATTCGACTTGGTTGGTAATCTTAGAAGATAGGGTTTGTCAAAAGTTTGCTTGTCTACCTTTTTAGATTCTAAGAGGCTTGTTCATGAAAATCAAAATTATTTCAATCTGTATAGGACTGTTAGGGGGATATTTTTTCTAAAGCCTAAATTCAGAAAATGTTGTCCCCCTTGTTCTTCTAACAAGGGTGCCACAATTTCTAATGATGAACTTCCTGATATTCTCCTCAATTTCCTTTCTATGCAACTTATTTCTACTTTTTAGTATAGATCTCTTCAGGAGTTACTATATATTAGTATTTTTTTTTACACAACAATAAATTTATCTACATTGTGATATCAATTTTTTTATATATTAATTCACATATAATTCAATTACTTTAACAATAGGACAAAGTAAAAAAACCGAAAAGCAGACACATTATCAACTAGCAAAGGAAAGCACTTAAGCTTTTAGTCACAATAAACATTCATCTTTTATGTCACTCCAAGTTCTTTTATAGAGTGTTCCTTGCAGCACATGTGTTGAAGACAAATACTTTGGGCCTTTTGGCAAGAATAAATTAAAAAAATTAATTTTTTTTGAAATAAATGATTTAAAAAATAATTATCAAAATAAATTATTTTGGCAACATATGAACACTCAAAATACGTCACAAGGTTCGATGTTTTGTATGTAAGGGTAAAAAAAATGAAGAAAACGTCAATACAAGTGGCGTTTTATGCATGCAGAAAACACAGAACCCAACCGGAAAACGTCACATGCATTGGCGTTTTCCACGCAAGCAAAACGAAATCGAAAAACATGAAAAACGTCACACATATTGACTTCTTTAGTGGGCATTTGGTGAACCGAGAAAAGTCATTTATATTGATGTTTTTCTTGCAACTGTAGTGAACCAGAAAATATCATACACATTGATGTTTTTGAAGCAACAAAATGCGTCACAGTTGGTGATGTTTTGCAGCATGCCCAATTGTCAAGTATCCCTTGTTTATGGGTTAGCTTACTCCTAACCCAAACCACCATAATGATGTACCATTTGAAATGAAAATAGAAGGAAATAAAAGAAAATAATTATTTTTTTAGTTTTAATGGAAATAAAATGGAAAAAAAATTAATGAACATCATATTTTACTTCTTTACAATTTGAAAAGTAAGGAAACAAAAATAAAAGAGAGGGGTCAATTGACGGTGGGTGTCAATTTTTTTTACATATGTTTAGGGTTTAGGGTTTAGTGTTTAGGGTTTAGGGTTTAGGATTTAGGATTTTTAGGGTTTAGGGTTGTCTACTTTTTTATTTTCACTCTTTACCAAAAAAAGACATCGTACGTGTGACGTTTTCCATGTTTTCCAGTTTCGCTTTTGTTGCATAGAAAATGTCAATACATGTGACATTTTTTGGTTGGATTCTGCATTTTTTACATGTATAAAACGTCATTTGTATTAACGTTTTCTTCATTTTTGTACCCTTATATGTAAAATATCGAACCTTGTAACGTTTTTTTAGTATCCATGTGACCAAAATAATTTATTTCAATAAATTATATTTTAAATAATTTATTTCAAAAAAAATTAATCTTTTTAATTTATTCTGGCCAAAAGGCCGATACTTTGGCTTATAGCACTTTTTAGTCAAAATTTTGTAAGCTGAACACTCAAGTTTCCCATAATATTTTGCCACATTAGTTGTTGCCCCTTGAGATATAGACATAAAATATTCTGCCAAGTGTGTTTAAAAAAAACAACATTAAAAATATAGAAGTTATTAAACTACCCTAAAGTGTTATTTCACACCCCATATAGGAATAATATATTCAACCTTTTGTACAGGCACACAAAACCCAAGCCATAGACTCTGAATTGGGAGTTCATGCACATGAAACTATATGGAGGTTATAATATGGAAATCATATGTAATCCAAGATGGGGAATTATGTATGGGCATATTATTTTATTTTGAAGGGAATTAACAGCTGGAAAAATATAAAATTCTTTTAGTGATAGAGGCGCTGATGCTTATGTTTCCCTTAGTGGGAAATTGTTGGTTCTGAAGTTGTGTATTGCAAAGAATAAACACGCATTTTCTCATCGTTTCATTGCATCTCCCCATTTTAAGGGTAAGCACTCGCATGCTTGTGGTGTGTGCATATACAGTTATATTTCTTTTAATCATCTAGCCATTGCGATGAGTAGAAGAAGCATATCTCATAAGAGACTGTAGATAAATTTGTTTACTTTTCTTTAAATTTACCTTGATTTAGCTGTTGGTTCAATTTCTTGCACTAAAGTAAAGGAAAATCACAACTCAGGATATATTTAAAGTACATTGTGGAGAGAATTTATTTAGTGAAAAATTTCATGTTCCATATATTCCTACGATGTCCAAAAACCAGGTAGGACAAAAAAGTAATTAACTACTTCTATATAACACATGTCTAATTCAATCAAAGAATGATGAAAAACTGGAACTGCACCACCCAGAAAAAAAAAAAAAAAAAAAAAAAAAAAAAAAAAAAAAAACAAAGTTTATGACTATGAATATATTCGTAGAACGAGTGTTGTTTGAGAATAGTACGTGAAGGATAAATAGCCCCATGCAGCCTACCATAAATGTTCATATTAAATACTGACACGTTTAATATTGTGTTGGTCATGTTAGAAATGTACTGATCTCTAAAAGAACATCTTCGTTTACTTAAATTTGAGTTTGTCAGTATTATTGATGGACTGCGTGATAAAAAGTTGTTCTGTGTGATAAAAAAATGTTCCCTAACACGAATTACTTTGATAGTACCTACTTACCAAGATTGAAAAGTATTATATATTAATGAAAACAAAACCAATAACAAAATACAGCAACCTAGCTAGACTTTAGAGTTGAATGACTTCTCAAGAGATTTCACAAGTTATTATTACTGCTAGCTATTCATGCTAAATTATTCTCATCATAACTTATCATGTCCACTAAGGAGTTGTCACTTAATTGTTTTCACAAGAGACTATCTTCAGACCCAGATCAATAAATCTACGTGAATGTAATTCTCTGTAAAGACTGCACTCTTTCACAGTTAAGACAGACTATAATTTTAATCAACATTAGACCTTTCCATCTGATGAGCCAAGACTAACAGTTTTGGAGGCTGTGGAAGACTTGGCAAACACTGAGTTTGTGCCTCCAGAGGGAGAAGATGAAGGAGAATGTAGCTTTTTGGGAAGCATCTGCTCCCAAAAATCCTTGGGAAATCTTGACCCTTCTGATAGAACAACGAAAGCAAGCAGAAAGAAGAACAATAACTGGTGCCTCCAAAAACCTGACATCATGATGATGATTAATACTATTACTACTACTCAGGAACTGCACAGAGCCTTCCTTTGACTTTAAATAGAGAAGCTTTAGAGGGATTTTGGCAGCAGACATGTTCAGTAATGTACGGAGGCTGCCAACTTGGTTGGTTGGGGAAGGATGTGAAAATGGCAGACAATAAATATGCTATTTGATAATTCTATGCTGTTAAGCAATCCATGTTGTTGCTCTCTGTGTGTAATAAACTAGTTAAATCAGAGTATGCATGTGTCACTAATTTTATTAATAAATAAATAATCACTTTGATCTTCATTAGTTGGATGCTAATATATAGTTAATTCACTATGTCTTTGTTAATATTTCTCTTTCTAATTCAAGTATTATGAACCTGGTACATAAGAAACTTAGCCCTCATCCCACATTTATCTTTTTTTTTATAATGGTATATCTTTGTTATCAGGGCTTTTTTATTAGTTTATGATGCACCGATCCAGGCCAACATTGAAACCACAATCTTTTTTTGTCACGAGTATAAGAGTTTTCAGTGAAGTCCTAATACTAGTTTAACTTGAGACAAAACCTAAAACCTAGCTAGTTTTATTATCCTTAAATTTTGATCATGCAGCTGCAAAACATGAGGGAGAGTGTTCCTTTTCAGTAGTTTTTTTTTTTCTTTTTTATTTCTCTCTTTTGGGGACAAACTTTTTAGCAGCTTCGTATAGATTAAAAACTAAACTGATTTATGTGCCTAAAAAGTTGTCACGTATGAATGAGTGTCCACAGAAAGAAAAGTAACTTAACACTTTATATGCTGTTTTCCCGACAGAATGGTATTTTAAATATATAGGAAGATAATAATAGCATTGGTGGTGTCAGCGAAATCTGGGTTTTTTATGATTATGTCAGATTATTGCATTGCATCCATTTGATTAGTTAATAGTTAAAGCCTTCTAGGCCACGTACTTATTCAAAGGGTTATACATTTAAAAATCTTCTACAAATGCATAAAAGAATGCAGGTGATATATTAGGGTGGTTCAAGTCTAATTAGTGGCTACTAGCTATATCTTCGTAGCTTCTAGTTAGCTTCTTTTCGTTTGCTTCCACTGCCTCAACCTCAACATACTAAAAAGACGAAAGTTTTACGAGGAATAACTGTTAACAATCGAGATTTTTTCATTGTCATAATTAAATATTTTAAAGTCTTTCTAATTTTTTATTTTACTTATAAGTTTGATTAAAGATTATTTATATTTTAAAAAAAGTAAATTATATAGATAAGTAATGTTTGCTTGTTAGTTTAATTATATTTTGTTGTTTGTTTTATTCAATTAAGTTAAGCACTTACGATAAACATTTTCAAAAGTGTACAAAATTGAGTTCATAACTAATATATTATATTAGTTTTTACCCCTTTTATATATATATATGATGTTGCAAATTTTTTAATCTCAACCTATTATATATGTTTTTAGTTAAACATTAAACAATTTTTAGCTCAAAATTATTAAGTGTTTGTTTAGGTACAAACTTATAAATGTTTTTAAGAACTTCTCTACTAGAAATAACTCTTTATTTTCATTAAAAAAAAACTCTCAAAAACGTCTTTAACTCTAAGCTCTAAGTTAATTTCTTTAATTAGTATGTGTCCGGCAAGATTGTTAGAATGCAAGTAAAGTCTTACATTGTTCAAATAAGAGGATGAACATGAGTTTATATACATAAAGTTATCTCTATTGATCAGATACCTTTTGGGTTATGTCTAAAAGCAAAATTGTGAAAGCTTAATCCCAAAGCAAACAATATCTTACATATGTTTGTGTGTGAGTAACTTCTTGTGCATAACAAGTGATATCAAAGTTGTTGTTCGACCAGGTGATCAACTCGGCAAGCATGATAGAGTTGGCAGGTGGATGAGTATAAGATCCCTTCCTAATAATGGTCCATGAGTGGAAGAGAGTCTTCTCGGTAACATGGAGGTTGAGTTCTCACGATTTTGCTTTTGAACATTACCTAAAAGACTTTTAACTAATAGAGATAATTGTATATAGATGAACCCGTATTCATCTTCTTGTTTGAATGATGGGGTAAGTGTGATGGAGTTCATAAGTAGATCTTATATACAAGATTTCTTGTATAGAAAGTCTTCCTAATAGTGAGTCCATCCTTAAGAGGCATGTGCCACAATCATGAGTTAACACGATGGATTTGGTGATGTCCAAAAGAAAAATCATGAGAACTTCGATTCAAAGTGACCAATATTTTATCATCGTAGAGACATATGTGTATGAAACCCCCAGTGCAAATAAAGTCCTACATTATTCAAACAAGAAGATGAACATGAATTTATATACATACGATTATTTCTATTGATTAGAAATTTTTTAAATGATGTCCAAAAGTAAAATTATAAGAACTTATGCTCAAAGTAGATAATATCCATTGTGAAAAAGATGCACAACAAAGACAAATGTTTATATAAATGTAAAGTGTTAAAATTTAATAAGTTATTGAACTAATTGATACATGTACAATGATATGTTTATATGATTTTTAATAAAAAAAATTAATTTTTATTAAAGTTGATTTTGAAGGGATGTGATTTATGTTTGGAAATTTTATTATAAAATCAAGTTATTAATAAAACTCGGTATAAAATGTTTAATTAAACATTAAAATTACTAAATTATTTCAACACAGCCAGTTTTGAATAGCTCAACATTAATTCCAACAAAACTCGTGAAAACTTACCTTAAATTAGGTTAGATATGTTGCAAAGTTATTCTAGAGAAATCAATTGTGAAACTGAACGTCAATACGTTAGCGTGGTACAATTATCATTTAGACCCACCTGTAACCTGGGATCGAATCCAACTGAAGCTGAATTTTGTATGAATTTCCATTAACAGTGGTGTAGCACATGTGTCGGTACTGGAAGGTGGCAACGCACTTAGTGTTCCAAAAAGAAAATTATATATTCTTCAATAATATTCCTTGACCATTTAACTGTAGGATTATTGTATTTGTGCGTGTGGTTTAGGGACATAAGAATTAATAAAATTAAATTAAATTAATAGGGATGTGAGAAGAATAAACCACAACTTCACAATTTTTTTAATAATAAATAAATAAATATATTACATACAGAAGTAAATGTGTTACTCTTCAATAATACAAGCATAGAAGTAAAAAAGAATACGTATTCTGTGGCAGCCTAATCATGCAATGGCTGATACAACAGTTTCAACCTTTGTTGGACGCCAGAATGTTTTCTGAATGCAAAGTAATCCCTCCCCATTTTTAAAATATGTCAACCGAATATCCCAGTGTAGAGATTTAGCCATGCTCTCTATCTCACCAATGGTTTCAACATTGTCTCTTATGATCAAATATCCTTCTGGTCTCAGGATCCTGTCAACTTCTGCAATCACCGTTACTATGTTGCACCTGAATCCAAAAATGTGTCACATAAATCAGAAGGATATAAGTGGACTAAGGAGATTTCTTTGTTGACAACTTCTAAAATTACTGGACATACTTTTTCTTGAGTGTTGACAATATAGAATCGGCATGGAGAAGATCATAAGATCTGGGGTAAGTACTGAAGGATTCACACCAATCATGATAAATACCGAATAGTCCACGTTCATATATTATTGGCAGTGTGTCTGGAGAATCAATTGGAACCACATTCATTACCCAAACATTCACTTTCAGGGTTCTGAGTGCTGCAGCAAACCTGAAGACACGAGAGAAAGCAAAAGATATTACTAAAGAAGGTTAATTATTTGATGATAAAGTCTCTAAGCATTCACACAAATAGAAAGTTTTACTGGTTAGGACAAGGAATTATTCACAAGTTTATATTGCAAAAAGGATATTTATAGAAGAAAATATTGAAAACAATAAACACTTTCAAATTTCAAAAGGGTTAAAACTTAGAAGGACAAAAAAAAGTAATAGAGAGAAATGCTAAAAGTGTACTTGAAAAAGCTAATAATCAGTCTGCACAAATGAAACGCCATTTTGGTCTATAAAAAATTTAGGGACACATTAGTTCTCAAAAAATGGAAATCACCATTTTTACCCTAAAAGATGAAAATGTCCAAAGGGTTAAATTAATCCCACGTTTTCGTCTTCAAGGGACTCGTGTGACCACCCTCGAATCTTTCGAGGATCAATATGATGTTTTATTCTTTGGTAGAAACCACATGAAATTATTGGGTACTGGAGTAAATATCTACTCATTTTCCTCTTACTAATGCTAGTAGAAACTTTTTTAGGGGAGAAAAGAAAGAGATGTAGTATAAAAGGTAATGATTTACCATCAGACTACATTTAATACAAAGAACAAAAGTAATTAATTTCCATTTCAAAGAAGAACCAGGAATATGCACAAGTACAAATATAATATCTTACCCTCCATAAACAGCTCTCATGTCCATGACATTTCTTACTGAAGACCAATTGATACCCATTCCATTCAAATAAGAGTGGACAAGAACGTTTTTCCAATGCTTGTAATCAGCAGTGAATTCGACGGAAGCAGCCCTTCCATAAACACCAGCCTGAGAGTCTATCCAGTAAGGTGGTTTTTCCAACCTCAGTGGCCATTGCTCTGGCCAGATTGATCCACGCTCTGATGCTTCAACGGGCACTTTGTGCATACAAGCCTGAAGTGATACATTCCTGAAGACATGAAAGTTGGATCATATCATAAAAGTTAGTAAAGCAACTTTGTCAAAATGGAAAAATCTCCAACTAAGTAATGCACTATCAACACTCTTGAATGTTAGCAAACAAGGCAATTTCAACCTGAGCAATTAATTTTGAGATGTTTAATTTCATTTTTTTCTAAATGAAACAAGGAAAAATAAGTAGTTCATTTTGAGATGTTCATATTTTCCAAGGACACCGGTTATTGGGTTTATATGTGTTTAAGAGGGATATATTTATGAAGAGGAGTATTAATTATATATTATATATTGTTTTTGTATTGTATTAGGTATTGGATATTCACACACATCTCTATATTGGTATGATATTATCCACTTTGGACTTAAACCCACATAGATTTGTTTTTGGTCATCACTTAAAAGGTTTCTTACCAATGAAGTATAATGTACTTTTTATAAATTCTTATTTTTCCTCTTGTTCTAAAAATATGGGACTTTGATTGTGTCCCAACACTAGTTACCCAAGTCTAGAATAAAAGGATGTCAAGGATTTGAACAAAATAATACATAAATTTTAGTATTAACTATTAAGAATCTCAATATTTTTCTAAAGCTTAACACACAAGTTGCT